TTTTTTTTTTTTTTTTTTTTTTTTTTTTTTTTTTTTTTTTTTTTTTTTTTTTTTTTGGCTTCTGTACAATTTATCATCTCCAGATGCATAAATCATCTGCAGAAACAGGCAACTCCAAAGGGTGTTGAGCTACGTGATGATGAGTTTATATTGCATGTGGAGGGAACTGCTAGCTCGCAGAGGGTAGTGCGCCACATTGGATCAACAAGTTGGCCTGGTTAGATTTAGTTAATTTTCATTGATCCATTTCTCATATGATTGCCTCTTGTGATATTTGGAATTTTGACCATGTCCCTTTTGTATTGAGAACATTGCCGAGTATGAAGGCCATTTCTGTGTCTCAGGCAGACTTACATTAACTAATTACAGCCTCTATTTTGAGGCCTCTGGTGTGATAACTTACGAAAAGGCAGTTGAGATAGAACTCTCAAGGGACACTCTGCACAGTGTGAAACCAGCTTCTACTGGACCTTGGGGTGCACCACTTTTTGACAAGGCAATCTTCTACGAGTCCCCTGAGATGTGAGGATATTTTATTGATTTTGTTTCCATTATCGAGCAATTAGCATAAAAGAAAAACCTTGATTTATAATTAATCAAATATTTTCTCAATTTTAAGATCAGAGGAAGTTGTGTTGGAGTTTCCAGAGATCACAAGTTCCACAAGACGTGATCACTGGCTTGCGCTAATTAAGGAGATCATACTCTTGCATTGTTTTTTGCGGAAATTTAATTTGGAAAATCCAATGCAAGTGTGGGAGATTCATTCAAGAACAATTCTGGGGATTATAAGGCTTCACGCAGCCAGAGAATTGCTTAGAATATCTCCACCTGTTCCTACAAAGTTCTTAATATTTGCCTTATGTGATGAGTTACCAAAGGGTGATTATGTACTAAAAGAACTTGCTGAGAATCTGAAGTTGCTGAATAGTGGACGCCCATGTAATGCAACTGCAACTCTAAGATATTTGAACATGTCACAGTTAACCAACTCCAGTGTAGAAGAAATTGAGAAAGTCTGTAATGTAAGTGAACGTGATGAAGCACAGTTCTCCTTAGAGAATGCCATTAATCAGGCCAGAGAAAAAGAGAAGGAAGTTGTCCATGCCAAGGCTACCACTGTAGGACTGAAAGAGGAAGGCATCGGTGAAAGTGCACTCATCTTCATGGCGAGCATCTTAATCTAATCAAAATTCTAAGAATTCTGTTCTTTTGTGTTTATTTTAAGTCATAACTTGATTACATGGTGCAGGAGCTATTAAAGCCACTTAAGAGCAGGTTACCTTGGTTCAAAGAAGTTCTTGAATGGGAAAGACCAGCGGCTACTGTTACCGTGCTCACTACATCTTTGATAATTACATTTAAGTAAGTTTTGTTTGTGCATTTTGTTTCCACCAAATATCCCAATTAGATATTCCAATCCTCTTGTTTAGGATTGTTGGGAGAGATATCCACGTTGGCTAATTAAGGAGATGATTATGAGTTTATAAGTAAAGAATACATCTTCATTGGTATGAAGCCTTAGGGGGAAACAAAAAACAAAGCCATGAGAGCTTATGCTCAAAGTGGATAATATCATACCATTGTGGAGATCCATGATTCTTAACATACTCGTATTCTTCAATTTTCTCTTTGATCATGATCAAGGCTGGCAGCTAACTTACACTCACGGATGTAGGGAGTGGTTGGGCAAGGCTGTGGCTGCCCTCCTGTTTTGGGTGGTCTTGGTGATGCTTCAAGCGAGAAAGAAAAAGATTCAGGAAAAGTGCGATGAGATTGTGGTCTGCACTGCCTCTGACCAGACTACGATGGAGAGCATAGTATCTGCCCAACAAAGTTTGCAAAATGTGCACGAGATTGTGCAGGCTGCAAACATTGCGGTGTTAAAGATTTGGTCCATTTTCATATCCAAAACCCGGAAGGTATATTCACATTTCTTAATTAAATTTTTATGTGTCCTGAAACTCATCTAGCATGAGATCTTATCTTATATTATATTTCTTAGGAATAAAACTATTTGCTGAAAAATAGGTGGTAGCAAATATAAAATTGCAGAATACCAATTCCAAAAAACTCATGTTGTTGCTCTGAGTAGACTTATTAGGTTAGGTTGGCAAGTTTAGATTTTAGTTCAATTATCGACATCCAATGAAACGCTAGTGGCCATGTATGGAAAGAAAACTATAGTATTGTTTGTTGAGGAATGTTGGGATAGAAGTTTCATGTTAGGAACTACGACTTTTCATGATATTGTCACTTTGAGCATAAACTCTCATGATTTTGCTTTTGGTTTCTCAAAAGGGTATGAAGATGTATTCTTTATTTATAAACTAATGATCAACCTCTTAATTAGGCGATGTGGGACTCCTCTCCCAACATCCTCTCCCAACCATCTTCAACATCTAATATTGGCTAATTAAGGGGATGATCATGGTTTATGAAATGATATGGGGCCTTTTTGAAGAAACCAAAAGCAAAGCCACATTTTACCCTCAAAGAAAGTCTGGGTGTGATTTCTAACATTATATTTTCTTTTTCCTCTCAATGATTTTAGGGAATTTGGTTACAAGCATACATGACTTGGATAACTATTAAAAAAAAAGTGTGATTAAATGGCTTTAAAAAGTTGAAGTCTCAATTGCCGAACAAGATTTATCATAATGCACAAGCTAATTTTAGAAAATAGTTATTTTTAGCAATAAATAGAGTTATCTTGTGTTGGGGCACTTTGTAGTTTGCATGATGGTCGTGAAGTCATGAGCAATATGCTTTGGACAAGCACGAAGTTGACACACTTCATCCATTCACACCCACAACGTTGACACACTTCATCCATTCACACACACTTCATCCATTCACTCCATACTTGCTTTTAGTTTCACCAAAATTCTCATTAGTCAAAAGTTTATGATGCTTTCGAACCTTCATCAAACATCTTGCGCTAATTTCAAGTATTAACATACATGTCTTTGGATCATATACTTTCAATTTTCTCTATTTAAAATCACACTTGGAAAGCGTTCATTTCCCATTGAAATAGAAAGTTGTACATTTTGGGTTGGTGTTGCAGCACGCGGACATGGTAATGGCGGTACTGAGTGGGGTGGCAATAATACTGGCAGTGGTTCCAACGAAGTACATAATAATGGGGGCAATATTATATGGCTTTTTGATGACCTCAAGAGTAGGGAAGAAAACTAAGGGTACCAACAGCGGTGGAGGAGACAGACGGCTGAAGGAGTGGTGGGACTCCATCCCTGTCATCCGCGTCCGTGTCGTTGACAAGCTTCCCGAGAGCGGCGGCCCTTCCGACTAAGGGTAATCCTCCACTCACCCTTTTCCATGCTTTCCTAGTTTCTCCATTTCTCCCTTTTTCTTAATGTCTATTCTGATCCTTTGCCATTTGTGAATATAGACAAACTGAAGGCCCCTTATAGAACAACGTGACAGTGGGATTTTATTGAAAATATTTTGGGGGCTTTTGGTTTCTTGGTCGTGGTGGGTTTGGCCTGAAATTTCGGTGTGTTTCCCTCTCCCTCCTCTGTTTTAGGTTGAAAATAAAGTGTCGAATTATGAAATAAAATCATAAAATTTTAGATTGTGAAATACCCGAATTCATAAAGTAGTCCCTTTTCATATTCTCTGGTTAAGAATGAGATCGTTCTTAAAATGGTTTGAAAGCTTCTCATTTTCTGTGGTTAAGAATGAGATTGTTTTTAAAATGGTTTCAGAACTTCTCATTTTTAGCTGATTGGTTTATAAAATTAAATATATGAAGTTTTTATGTTATTTTTTGTGATTCTAAAATTTTTGTAATTTTTTAAATAAAGAAATGGAATTAGAAATAATAAATTTGATTTTGTTGATTTTAAAATTTCTATTCAATTTTGAAAACATAAATTAAATTATTTGGAGTATTGACATTTTTTTTTTTAAATTGAAAACGAGGGATGCTATATATTATATATTCATATTTTTCAAATTTGGATTTGGCTTATTTTTATAATTGGAAACGAGGAATCCAAGTCTACTTTTCATTATATCTTTGTTTCCGAATCTATGTTGTTTGGATCATCATGCAATGTTAGCAATTTTTCCCCCTATTTTAGGTCGTGATTTGGATCTTTACATATAAAGCTACATTCTTATCCTTGGTTGAGATCAAAGCATAAACTTCAACCAATATTGTCCAAAATTTTTCATATTTTAAAATTTTCATGTTGGTTGACGAATGTTACCTTTTCTTCTTTTCTAAGCGTATTTTTGCAGCTAAAATGTTCCATCTTTTCTTTGACTAGTTTTAAAACACTAATGTTAGTACGGACAAATGTTGACCGAACTATTGCTATAAAAGTATAAATGTTACCTTTTTTTTTTTCATTGTAGTATATTCTTACCAGCAAAATGTTTGAGCCTTTGGTCGAACCTTTATAATCATAAAGCTTCACATTAGTAGGGACAAAATTTAAGCTATTCTTGTAATTAATAATTTAATCTTTTAACTGTGTCTATGGTTTTTATTTGTAATTGAACTTCAAAATTATTAGTAATTAGTATGATGGTTGATGTGGTTGATAGAACCATGTATGAATAGTAATCTTAAAAAGTTATAGGTTGAGTGAGCTGCTTTATCTTAATAACATTACAATTTTTTTTATTCAAATCGTTCATGTAAAGTCACGTGAGTGATGATGTCATATGCAATGAGTGAGGATATTATAGGCAAAAAGTATAGTATTGGATCATGAAACATTTGATCTTCCTTTGTGGGCTTATTAATTAATAAAATTAATATTTTACACGACGGATCGTAAGTGACTCGATTTTAATATTTATTGAGTAATGAACTTCTGTAATTTTATTCATATATCTATCATTTTAGAAAATTGACCAAATGGTGAACGATAATGTAATCTTATCCAATGAAATTTGCTTAGCATACCGGATAAATGGATGGATGGTCCTTTAAAATATAGATTTTGGGAGTCGAAAAATGGAATCTACCATCTCTTTGGCCCAAGAGAACTATTCATCATTGGATTTAAACAAATTGTATATTGACTGACTAGTGATTTTGACCACAAGATAAAATTATACGTGTGAAACGTACTTTTGATCTAAATGTAATTACAAGCCACTTATAAATGACTGATTTGTCTGTAATGATTATATCCATGTACCCGATTTGTCATGCATAGATCAATAATTGAGTGATATATAATTAATTATTAAAAATTTATGGATTAAAGAGTTTAATGAATTTAGTTTTTTAAAAATTGAAATGTTCAACATATTTAATAATATTAAATATAATTAAGAAGAATATATTTAGCTAAGAGAAAATATATGATCGTATTTATTATCTTAAATGTTAAAATAATTAAGGTATATTATACATTAAAGAAAATAATTTAAATTAAATTGAGTTTATATATTAGGATATTTAAATATGATTTAAAGAAACCAATTCTATTTTAATATATTTAATATTAAAATATACTATTTCAAATTTAGAAAAAGTATTTTAAAATACAATAATAGGATAATTGAACCAAATAAATTAAATCATACATATCTATTTTATAAGTCTTAGCCACAAAAAATTTGTGAAGATATTTAACTTTTTATATGCAAGTTTACTTACCTATATATTTTAGTTTAATTCTAAATAAATTGAAATATTTTCCAAGCTTCCAAATTTTATTAAAATTTAAAACTTAGTTTACTTTATACAAAAAATATTATTTAATTTCGGCCCACACATTATTTTAGTGTTTTATGATTTTTTTTTACGGTGCTAAATATCATATTTTATTTCATAAACGTCATTTTTTGATTCATGATCTAAATTGTACCAGTAAGTAGGAGTTTTACCAGACTTAAATGGTACTTTCGTCATTTGATTTGAGTCCCACCTATCACGACACATCACGAGAGGATTTGCAGCATCTCAAGTCTCGATCGCTTGTGTGAGTACCTGTCAATTCCGTTGAGCTTCATTCTTCCGAAAGCACTCTCCAAACACAATACTTAACACGAAATTAAAAAGCTAGTTGACATAATTTCATGATCTACCTATCGATATGTCATTTAGATTGATAGAAGCCGTCAAAAGCTGTATTTTTTTTTGTCCTAATTTTTGTTTATTTTACAATAAAAAAAACAAAAAGATAAAATAGAAAACATCAATGATAATTTTGGATCGAATGCTTATCCAATATTATCAAATATTGTCATCGTTTTAAAATGTGTTTGGAGCTGTTTTCACCGTCTTACAAAAAGGAGTGTTTCGTTTTCCTCTCCACCTATAGAATGTCACAGTTATTGTGATTAAGTTAAAAATGAAAGTACAAATTATTAATATAGGTGATAATTATCAATTATTTTAGCATTTTTAAGTATCATTAAGATATTTTCATTATTCCGGACACACGAGTATAATTCAACTAATTAAGACATATTTTTTAAATAAAAAAACACAAAGATATTTATTATAATTTTACACATTTCGTATTATATTATATAATCTCCTCTAGGTCGAGGTCACGTGCGGTTTCGTCTCCATCTCACGTGACTTGTCCTTCTCCTTCTTTTCTTGCACTTAAATCTTCATTTCTTTTCTCTCTCCTTTTCTAACAGTGAAGTATATGCGACGCCGAGACGTTATTCTCTGCCACTCTTCTCCGGAACCCTAACCGTCGATACCTCAACGGGGATCGCTCTCACGTCCGGCGAGGCGTATCTGAGCTACAAGATGGATGTTGATCAGTCTGATTCACAGAAGGCTCAGACCTTACAATCCCTAACCAGTGGTTCTCTCGGTTCGTCTCTGTCCAAGCTCGCCGGCTCTTCCCGGGGTATTCCGGCCGACAAAGACTTTCACTTTTATTACAGCTTCGACGAATTCAAAATCCCGATACAGAGCATCGAGCGGCAATCTCAGTCGATGCTCGAGACCATTGGCTCGTCCGCCGAAGTTTGGGGCAAGGAAATGGCGTTCCCTGAGGATACCGACGACGCGTATGATTGGTTAGTTAATGTTAATGATGAAATTTTTGAGCGGTTTGATCTGTCTCTGGATGAGTTTCAGAGGATTCGGAAGGAGGAGGAGGAGAGTGGGAGGGCTGTGGCTTTAATGGCGGACTCTAACGATGGGTTTCAGTTGGTGTGTGGGAAGAAGAAGAAAACTCCGAGTCATGGAGACGAGGTGCATGATTCGAGTTTTGAGTCGAGTGTGAAGGTTGCTACCAAGGATAGGAAAACTTTGGGGGTGAAGCCGAAAGTTCCATTTCATATACCGACTATCCGTAGACCGCAGGATGAGTTTAATATTTTGGTTAATAATTCAAATCAGCCTTTCGAGCATGTCTGGTTGGAAAGGAGTGAAGATGGCTCGCGGTTTGCACATCCACTGGTTAGTTGAACTCCTTTTCCCTTGTATTGATCTTAACGTGTTACCTTTTCCTTTTCTTTTCTTTGCCTACTAGGGTCTGAGGAGGGCATGCTTTGCATAATTTAAGTAAGTTCTATAGGTGCTCGGCATTATTTTGGCCGGTTGTGTCTAAATTCTAATGGCCAGTAGAAAAGGGTTTGGCTTATATTTTGTAAAGATGTTCTGTAGTTTAGATGGGTTAGCGATTGAAATTCAATGGGATTGTCAACTTTATAGCGTGTTGTCATCTTTCATGAGCGGTTACTGTTTTGTCGAAGTTCAGAGTTGTTGCTTACTTCAATTTACTTGTTTGTGCAGGAGAAGCTCTCTGTATTGGACTTTGTCGATAAGATTAATGCAGATTTTCAACCTGTTTATCCACCATCTTTGGATTGTACTCCCTTCAAATTCATAGAGGAAGTCAATGATTTGAAAGAACTGGCTGCTAAATTGCAAGGAGTTAATGAATTTGCGGTACAAAACTATTACTAGTTCAATGTTATGATGTCATAAGGAGGAAGCATATGTTAGCTGAAGGAATTATTTTGTATGGACTGTATTTAGACCGTGTTCTAAATTCGGTCTGGCATTCAAAATGCTTACTTCTCATGTTTTTGTGTTTGCATTATTAGTTTGAGAAGGAAAAAAAAAAAAAAAATCATTAAAAAGCATAAATATGAATTCAAGATCTGTTGCAATGATATCAAGTAAATCAGAGAATGGAGCTAATTTGCAAAGAAACGTAGTACACTTCTAGAGTATGTCATGGTATGAATTTAAGACAAAAATCTAACATCCAGTTTTGATGTGCCTTCTATATTTAATTTTCTTTGTAATTTGAGTTCTGTGTTCTGTTATTTGATGCACACTGTGAATCTTGTAGGTTGATTTGGAACATAACCAGTATCGATCTTTTCAAGGACTTACATGCCTGATGCAAATTTCTACAAGAACTGAGGATTTTGTTGTAGATACGCTGAAGCTCAGAATTCATGTGGGGCCCTACCTAAGAGAGGTTTTCAAGGATCCTTCAAAGAAAAAGGTTGAC